CCAGATCTCTAATAAGCCAGACGGTCACTTGTCCACTCAGGGGAAACAGTCCGACTCTAGGAGGAAGACAATAAAGCTTGTTTTGGCCCTGAAAGTGTTGAATCAAGCCCTGGGTTTGGACCATCTGTGTTGGCAGTAAAATTTGTTTTCAGGTCGAAGCTGTCTCGCTTGAGTCATTTTGACTCTGTAAGGGAAGGGGTGACCAATCAACAAAGGTGAAGGGCAGCCCAGGCCCAGTTTTGCTCATCTCTGTACTCCTGAAAGCCTCATTGTGTTGGGGGGACAGGGGTGGAGAAGAAGAGTGCCTGCCCTCCTCACATGGTAGAAAATGAAGAAAATGAAGCCAAGCGGTGTAAAATGAGAAGTGTTAAATGCAGATTTGGTGTGAGTCATCAGTGTGAGGCAATGGTGTGGCCTTAGCCTGCATTAGTAGAACTATGCCATGTAGAATGAAGTGTACTTCTACTGCTGAGTCATCCATTCATCCTTCCCCTGTGATAGTATCCTTAGCCTTCCTTTGTAGAATCACTCTTTCCTACTCTTAGTCCATATGATTTGGATGGAGTAGGCCCCTGTGGGCTCTCAGAACATTCCCTCTTCCTGGCCACAGTGATTGACTCTGTTTGGGTCACATAGTCATGAACCAGAGAGAATCAATGAAACTCCTGCTGGAAATGCTGGGAGAAAGATAGATACTCTTTCCATCTAGACTTGAACCTAGAAGGATGTGAAGCTGAGTTTCTAAAGCCTTTGCTCCATGAGAAGGAGTCAAGAATAAGTTCATCGTAAAGGAGATGGAGCCTGATGATATCATTGGAGCACCTGGCTCCAGCCAAGCCTGAAGCCACTGTGAGTCCAAAATTTCCTTTTTTTGTTTAAATCATTCTGGAAATAAGATTCCTAACTGGCACAGTTGGACAGACCACCCTGAGGGCTGTGTTCATGGCTGGACTTCAACAGTCCAGAAGACAGTTAATAACGAAAGTCCTAAGACTCAAAACCCCATCATGTGAGTAAGAGTTGAGAGGGGTGGGTAATTTCAGTCTGCAAGAAAAGTTACCTTCAGATATGTGGACAGTGGTTGCTCCAATTATCTATAGCTAGGCAACAAACTGGGCTTCCTTGGTGGCCTAGATGGTAAAGAATCTGCCTACAATGCAGGAGACCCAGGTTCTATCCCTGGGTCGGGAAGATCCCCTGGAGAAGGTAATGGCAACCCACTCCAGTATTCTTGCCTGGAGAATCCCATGGACTGAGGCACCTGGTGGGCTACAGTCCATGGAGTCGCAAAGAGTTGGACACGACTGAGTGAGTAACTTTGATTTGTGCAGCTAATCACCCAAAACTTTGCAAGTTAACACAAGAACCGGTTTATTCTCTTTCTTGGTTTTGCGGGTCAGGAATTTGAGAAGGGCTCATTTGGGTGATTCTTTTGTTTCATGTGAGGTCACTTGGCGGCATTCAGTCGGTGGACCAGCTGGTCTGGCGCCGACTCACGTGTCTGGCACCCTCACAGACAGGGCTAGAGGGCTGAACTCAGCAGGAATTAAAGACCAGAGCTCCCTCTTGTGGTCTCTTCAGCATGCGGCCACAGGGCAATTAGGTTTCTTACATTTGGCTCTGGACGCCAAGGGTGAAAGTCCCAAGAGACCGGAGCGGTATCTGTGAGTCTCTTAAGTCCTGAGCCCTGAAATTAGCACAGGTCACTTTCACCACATTTGATTGGTCAAGAAGCCACAGATTTGAGGGGAAAGGATGAAGACCCCAGGACTTGATGGGAGGAATGGACGTTTGCAGTTCTCTCTAATCTGCCCCAGTCGTCATGGGGCATAATATTGAGCACCTACTATGCATCAGAACACTCTGAGTTGACGTCGCTTAGACCTCAGCACAGTCCTTCAGCACTGATGCTGTTCGTCTCTCCATTGTACAAACGAGGCACTGAAGAGTTGTACTGTGGCCCGCTCTGGGCCACACAGCTGGAAGTGGCAGCGTGGGGATTTGAACCCAGGACTCTCTGACTCCACAACTACGTGTTTATGCCATACCGAAAAGAAGAAATTAGACTGTGCTCTGTGGTCCCAAGGGCAGAACCAGGAATAAAGATTCTGTTCTGGGCAGGAAAAGGCCTCTCTGGCCATTAGAGCTGGTGACGACGAAGGGACGGCCTAGGGAGATGCTTTCCCGTCACCATGGCAGTAGGAACAGAGGCTGATGGATTCTGACAGATTAGCTGGTGGGATAGAAACAATATATGTCTCATGAGAAGATCATCAACATTATGGAGGTGATGAACTGGCCTACCTCTTTAAGGTCTGTCTCCAGATCACTGATGCCCTGGGCACTTCTGTCACCACCATCACACACCTGCTCTCCAAAGACACCCATATATATATATGTATATATATATATATATTTTTTATATGCACATATATATATAGTTTATGATTAGCATTATACTACATGTACATCTTGGTTTTTCCCCCACTAACTGATAAGTTATAGTGTTCTTTCCATAGCAGTACCCAGAGCCTTAGAGCATTCTTTTTATTAGACGTTCATATGACCAATTTTATACTTCTCTCTTGAAGGATATTTAGCTTGTTTTGAGGCTTCTGTGGATACCAATGATGGGCAGTGAACTTCCCCGGTTGAAGCTATGTGCGTTTTAACTTTGAGTAACTACTATTAAAATACCCTCCGAGATTCTGCTTTTGATTCTTTTGGGTATATACCCAGAAGTGGAATTGCTGGCCATAAGATAATTCTATTTTCATTTTTTTGAGGAACCCTCAGCTTACATTTTCTCCAATGCTGCACGAGGGTTCCAATTTCTCCACATCCTTGTCAGCAGTTGCTATTTTCTGGGTGGTGGTTGTAGTTTCAATTTTGTTTTTTGATAGTGGTCATCTGCTGCAGTCTCAATGTTTGTGTCCTCTGGAGCCTTTGAGAGGGGCTTAGGTCATGAGGGTGGAGCACTCATGAACAGGGTTAGTGCTTCTATAAAAGACACCCCACGGAGCCCCTAGTCCTTGCCACCATGTGAGGATGCGAAGAGGGGCCTTTGACCCAGAAAAGGGGCTTCACCCAACCATGCGGGCACCCTAATCTCAGACTTCTAAGCCTCTCAAACTGTGAGAAACAGATTTCTGCTGTTTGTAAGCTGCCCGGTCTGTAGTATTTTGTTATACCAGCCCAAAGGGACAGACACTATCACAGTGGGTATGAGGTGATTTAGCTTTGTTTTGATGCTTTTTGTAACACAAAGCAAGCCAGAAACAGAGGAAACAAGTGTGTTAGGTTTTAGTCAGACAGCCTGGGTTCAACTCCTGCCTCTGCCACCTTCGAGCTTCATTGCTAAGTTGTGCCCACCTCTTTTGCAACCCCATGGACTATAGCCCGCCAGGCTCCTCTGTCTGTGGAATTTCTGAGGCGAGAATTCCCTTCTCCAGGGTATCTTCTCGACCCAGGAATCGGACCCATCACCTGCTTTGGCAAGCAGATTCTTTACTACTGAGCCACCAGGAAAGCCCACCATCTTTTAGTTTTGTGGCCTGTTAAACACAGGACAGCAGGCTCAAAATGGAATTGCTTATGCTAAGCTCCATGTCACCAGAGACTTTGGCTCTCCAGAAATGGAATCTTTAACCATACAGGAATCACCTGATCAGCACTAGTTAGGTAATCTGCCTGAGAAAGTCCTGCCACCTCCTAAAGGAAAGAAACTGCAATAACCAACCAGCTTTTCTACCTGTTATAAGTTCCTTGTTTCTTGCTGGCTATAAAAGGCTTCTGTCTTGTGCAGTTCTTCAGGGGTCCTTTCTATCTGCTACATTCAATGCTGCTCAGTTTGAGTAGGTATTTGCTCAAATCAACTCTTAAAAATGTTAATATGCCTCAGTTTATCTTTCAACAGATCACACCCAAATTTTACCCCAAGCCCTATTGGCCCATCTGTAAAATGGGTAAAATAGTCATACCATTCTTCTAGAGTTGTATGGATCAAGTAAGATAGTGTCCTTAATAGAATTTTGCACAAGATAATCTAACATTTATTAATCTTTTTAGTGTCTTATTTAAGAGAGTCACCCCCAGAATTCCCTGGTGGTCCAGTGGTTAGGACTCTGTGCTTCCACAGCTGGGGACATGGGTTCCATCCTTGCTGGGGACTAGGTTCTCACGAGCCATGGGGTGAGGCCAGGGGAGAAAAAAGTCATCTCCACCCCATAGTATTCATCATACTCCTGTTTTCCTCTTCCAAATTCTTTTATAGCTTTGATTTTGCTCCTGGGAATTTAAGTCAATTGAAATTTATCTGATAGGCACAAAGGTAGGCAGTTGTTTCAACACTTTTCACTAACTAGTGTATCTGTTCACCACTGATTTAATCACCTCCTAATTGCAGCTGCACTGGAGTCTATTGTTGAATCATCGTTTCTGTCCAACTGATCTATTCCTGAGCCGACACCACTTCTGAGAACTTTATAACAAGTCCTACCATGGGGTTAGAGCAGGCCTGTTTTGTTGTTCCAAAACTGGCTTGGCTTTTCTTGTACTGTTTTTCTTTTCAAAACTCAGCCGGTTAGGTTAAAAAAACAAAATCCTGGTGGACTTTTGAATGGACCAGCCTGATGAAGTAACTTGGAGGAAAACTGACATGTTGACAGCATTCCATTCTCATAGCTGGGAAACTTTTCTCTCCCAGGACTTTTTTTCTATTCAACCCAGGTAGACCAGAGTGTCCCTCTCATCAAGGATTGCGCCACAACCACTGTGGATTAAAGCTCTCAGTACCCTACCTCCCCTTGAAAAAGGAAGGAGTTATATACAAATTGCCAAATGAGAAGGTTTGAAAAGGAGTGGAACAATCTGTTTGAGGGGAGACCGGCTATTCAGGGTGGTGACCTTGGAAACGCAAATGCCATTTGGCCAAGACAGGCCCCAGGGCCTCCTGGCCTCGCCTCTGATGACTCTGAAAACAGGCAGCTCTGCAGGAGTGGCTAGAAAATTGCAGAAACCGCAGGCCTTTGGGGCTGGGGTCTGGTTTTAACTTCCCCCAACCCCACTGGCTTCCCAGGTGGGTCAGTGGTAAAGAATCTGCCTGCCAAGCAGGAGATGCAGGTTCGATCCCTGAGTCGGGAAGTTCCCGTGGAAGGGGAAATGGCAACCCACCACAGTATTCTTGCCTGGAAAATCCCATGGACAGAGGAGGCTGGCAGGCTACAGTCCACGGGGTTGCAAAGAGTTGGAGACGACTTAACGAAAACAGCAACAACAAGTCCCATTGTACAGATGCAGACTATGAGGCTGAGAGGCAGAAAAAGAGACAGACCCATGTGAGTCTGGTCTCCCCTCTTTCCCCAGAGTTCAGCTTGACTTGGCAGGAGGGTCATGTGCCATCTGAAGATGGGGAGGATGTCCTCCCAGTCCCAAACAGACCAGTGTCCAATGTCCAGATTTTATCTTCTAACTGGGAAGTTCTTCTGATGAGGCTCCTTCCACCCCCACCCCCACCCCCACCCTGGCATCCTTCCCCTTTAAGAAGAGACCAGTCCTTGGCTTATGCCATTCATAGGATTTATTGTCACTTGCCAATAGTTTGCAGGAAAGGGGACACACCGCTGGGCCTCGCCACAGGGCAGGTGGCACTGGGCCACCCCGCACTATTTACACACATTTCACGCAGGACGGGGGGCCGTCCTCACTGGCAGCAGCTACACTTCTCCTCCTCAGCTTCGGCCCCCTCTCCGCTTTTGCACACACAGTCCTTGGCACATTTCTCACACTCTGCGGGGCAGCAGGAGCAGCAGCCTGCAGATAAAGTGGGGGATGCCCAGTCTGATGGCCTGTCCTCCGCCATCTGTCCCCATCAGAAAGAAGGGGGGAAAGGAGGGGTGCCAGAGGTCACTGCCCCCCGCTTCCTAGTCTTACACCTGGGCTGACTCAGGGCCTCTGGTGTGTCCGCTACACACTGGGAGAAGGGTACCCAGTAACTAGCCCACAGCCCCATCTCTGAGCCCAGGAGTCCTGGGGACAGTGGAGTGAGGCCCACGCTAGGGGGAACCAGGCCTTAGAGAGAAAACATCTAGGGGAAATGACCTTGAAGGACAAACCTGCAGAAGCAGATATGGTACAAGTGTAGGGGGTCCAGGAGATTCACGGAGAGGTGCATGCCTAGTCTAATACACAAACAAGGGTGCCTTCCCCCTGCGTATTACACTGCTTTGGGGGAGATTCAGGGGAGGTAAAATTGAGGGGATCCACACAGGCCTGAGAGGGCCGAAGGGACCCCGACTCCAGAGCTAACCCCTGGCCTCACTAGTGTTTCCCCAGGAGCTGGAGGCCTGGAGGGGAGCCCGGGAGAGCAGTTCCGCATCCTAACTGCCCATTAGAACCTTCCGGGAATGCACAAACAATTGCCCGGGCCCAAGGGAACAATGGCTGAAGGAGGGCCCCTGCAACTGAGCCCTCAGGCCTCTGGGTGGTTCTGTTCCCGTCAGAGTCCACGCAGTGTCACCGCCGGCCGAGGGGCCGCTCCGCGCCTACGTGGACAGGCGTGGTGCTCACGGGAGGACCGAGGGGGGGCGCAGAGGGGTCCCCGCACTCACTCTTCTTGCAGGAGGCGCATGTGCAGCCCTCGCACTTGCAGGAGTCAGAGCAGGTGCAGGAGCCGCCTAGAGGGGGAGGGGCCACAGGAAGAGTTAATGGGGTAGAACTCGGGGTGGGGCCAGGCCTAAAAGGAGATGGGGTACCCAGCCTCAATGCCCTCTGAATATAGCCATGCCCATCCTTCAGGAGATTCAAAGTGGGAAATAAGGGTCCCTTCCCCCAAATGTCCTTGAGCAAAGGCATAGGGTTCTTTTCAAGTAAAGGGGCGCGCGGTTCCGCAGGGGGGGGGGGGGCGGGGGCTCACCAGTAGGGCAGGGGCAGGTCTCAGGGTCCATGCCGGAGAGGAGCGACCGCCGAAGGAGGCGAATCGGCTTCTAGGGCAATTGAATGCACTGGCGGCAGCAGGTGGCGAGGCTTTTATAGCCCCAGGCGGGGGCGCGTTGGCACAGTCTTCTAGGCGCGCGCGCCTCCTCTCTCCGTCCGCGAGCACAAGCCGGCGCGGAGGCGCGCATTGCGGCACCGCTCCCCGCACCCCTGCCGTGTGTCCCCCGCCGTGTGCACGGCCGGGGAACTGCCCCCACCCCACCCGGCTGCCGTCTGCACAGCCGGGTGCGCGCGCAGTCACGTACTTCCCGCCGTGTGCACAGGGAACACTCCCCTCCCGCCTTTCCGCCCATGTCCACCGCTGCAGCCGGCTCCCGGCAGAAAGTGCACGCTTCCTGCCTCTGAAAGCGGAGGGAGAGCAAAAGGCTTTGTCTTCAAGTCCTATCCTGCTTCTCATCCTCTCCACCGCCGTTATCCCTCATTCTGGGTTTCTCAGGGCGCGCTGAGTCATTCCGCTGCTCCAAGACTCCCTGTCTGATGGGGAGAGAACACATCCCGCCCCCACCCAAGGGCCCTCACAAACTGTCTTGGGAAGGACCTGCTCTGGGAGCCCTGCAGCACTGGACTGGGGTGACCAGCGGGAGTTTTGTGGGGGGGGTGGTGATGCTAGGTGGCTGCATCTCAGCTTCAGAGGGAAGCCTCTCTCCTCTTATCTGTTCCTCCTGCTGAGTTTCTCAGAGTCCCTTGTGCCTGCGGTTGGCTGAAAACTGGCCCGGCAAGAGATATCTATGTCAAATCCTGGAATCTGTGATTATTACTTTATTTGAAAAGGGAGGCTTTGCAGATGTAATTAAATTAAGGATCTTGAGATGAGATCATCCTGGATTATCCACATAGGCCCTAAATCCAGTGATGAGCATCCTTAGAAGGTCCACAGAGACAAGAAGAGGAGGGGGCGATGTGACCACGGAAGCAGGGACTGGAGTGATGGGGCCAGCAGCCACAGAAGCTGGACACAGAACAGTTCATGGCCTTTGTTATAAGACTGTGTCCTCACTCAGCAAGTCAGGACACTTAATCCCTAGGAAATGGAGGAGCAAAGGACAGCATTAGATAACTGGCCAAGGGTTAAAGGAGGAGGAGAAAGGGTTGCTGATGGTGTTTCAGAAAGGGCAGCCACATGGTGACCCCACCCCTGCCCCCCGCACACGGGGAGGCCTCACTTCTTCTGCCTGTAAGCACCTTTCACATGGTTGTATTGTGCCTCACAGAGGCAAGGCTTATCTAGAGACAGTAAACAAACAAAAATGTTCCCCAGGAACCCTGCATTAAGAGGCTTCCACGGTGCCTCCGCAGTTAAGGAATCTGCCTGCAATGCAGGAGTCGTGGGTTCAATCCCTAGGTTGGGAAGATCCCCTGGAGGAGGAAATGGCAACCCACTCCAGTATTCTTGCCTGGGAAATTCCATGGACAGAGGAGTCTGTCCGGCTGCAGTCAGTTCAGTTCGGTTCAGTTGCTCAGTCGTGTCAGACTCTTTGCGACCCCATGGACTGCAGAACGCCAGGCTTCCCTGTCCATCACCAACTCCCGGAGCTTGCTCAAACTGATGTCCATAGAGTTGGTGATGCCATCCAACCATCTCATCCTCTGTCATCCCCTTCTCCTCCTGCCTTCAATCTTTCCTTGCGTCAGGGTCTTTTCCAGTGAGTCCGTTCTTTGCATCAGGTGGCAAAGTATTGGAGTTTCAGCTTCCACATCACTCCTTTCAATGAATATTCAGGACTAATTTCTTTTAGGATTGACTGGTTTGATCTCCTTGCAGTCCAAGGGACTCTCAAGAGTCTTCTGCAACACCACAGTTCAAAAGCATCAATTTTTCTGCCATCAGCTTTCTTTATAGTCCAACTCTCATATCCATACATGACTACTGGAAAAACCATAGTTTTGACCAGACGGACCTTTGTTGGCAAAATAATGTCTCTGCTTTTTAATACGCTGTCTAGGTTAGTCATAGCTTTTCTTCCAAGGAGCAAGCGTCTTTTAATTTCATGGTTGCAATCACCATCTGCAGTAATTTTGGAGCCCAAGAAAATAAAGTCTGTCACTGTTTCCATCGTTTTCCATCTATTTGTCATGAAGTGATGGAACTGGATGCTATAATCTTAGTTTTCTGAATGTTGAGTTTTAAGCCAACTTTTTCCACTCTCCCTTTCACTTTCATGCATCCCAGGCATGCTATGCTACAGTCATGGGGTTGCAAAGAGTTGGACTCGACTTAGCGACTACACAACAACAACCTGTTGCCTCCTCAAGAATGCAAGTGCCTCCACAAGTTCTCCCAAAGAGACCTGATCACCTCTCACACCCAACTTCCACTTTTTAAAAAAGAGATACTAAGATAGGCTGGCACCTGGGACTGTCTACCAGAGTGCTTGCACTTGAACCTGGACAAATGTCTCTTCATTTACAAAGAAACTGTATGAGACTAAAAATAACCATGAATGCACAGTTGGGGCAATTAGGAACAATGAAATACAGGAGGGCCACAAACTGACTGCCATTTTGGAGGGGCCCAGAGTAGATGCCCTGGAGGAGGGCTTAACCCACTCTAGTATTCCTGCCTGGAGAATCTCATGGACAGAACAGCCTGGCGGGCTAAAGTCCATGGGGTCTAAAAGTCAGACACGACTGAAACAACTCCACACACAGCAAAATCAGGGTACTGCGCATGATCGCTGTGCACAGCACACCTAAGCCACCCCTCTGGCCCAGCCAGAGCCGCCCCTAACCTCATCCCATTTAAGGAACCAGCCCACCCTCCTGGGAGAGCGAACAAGGACACCTGTTTCTTGTTCTCACTCTGTCATGCTGCAAGCTGAACCCAATAAAGCCTTGCCTAGCCTCTTATCAATTTCTCTTGATTAAAGGGTCAATACCTGTGTAGGATTTGCAGCCCTCCCCCTTTGGAGGTGGTCCTGAGGCTGCTTCCCAGGAAGAAGGAGCGACTGAGACTCGCCAGGACAGACCCAGCCCTACTTCATTTCCCCTGGGCAAACCTGAGCCTCTTCTAAGTCGGAGCTGGATAAGCACTTGAAAATGTTGGTTGGAAACTCTGCACCCCAAAAAATATTAGCTTCCAGGGGGCCTCCAAATGGCCTCAGACAAGGAGCAAGCTAAGCTTTCTCCAGGCTTTGCTATGTGTTGGCTCACGAGTCTTCAGTTTCGATGAAGTTGAAGTGAAGTTGCTCAGTTGTGTCCGACTCTTTATGACCCCATGTACTGTAGCCTACCAGGCTCCTCCATCCATGGAATTTTCCAGGCAAGAGTACTGGAGTGGGTTGCCATTTCCTTCTCCAGAGGATCTTCCCAACCCAAGGATCAAACCTGGGTCCCCTACATTGCAGGCAGACGCTTACCATCTGAGCTACCAGGTAAGCCCCTGATAAAGTTGAAGGAATGCGGGGAGCCAGCCTGCTCAAGGCCCAAAAAGGCCCTGGAAAAGCCTTGAAAGAGGCCATTCCCTGTCCCACCACCCCATGATAAAGTAGTAAAACATTTGCTGGGTCTCCTTTGTTCTTCCTTGAGAAAAACATAGTAGTGACCTTCACTTAGTAGTTTATCTTGGAATGCCAAAAACAAGATGTAAGCTTCTGCAATCACTTAAGACAAAGAATGGTATTGATGTGACAAAAACCAGATGGCATTTTTATGAACTATGTTTTCTGCTTGTACTAGTATAAAGGTAGCTGTTTTACTCAATAAAATCCCTGACTTGCCTAAAGAGCATTCAGTCCTCTCGACCCCATTCTTTACTATCGGCTTTTTTCTCAGGCTTCCGTGCTGTTGCGGTCGGGACTTGTTCTCTTTGCCGGCTGGTCCCGGCAAAGGAAGAGGAAAAAGGAGGAAGAAAGAAAAGTCCGAAGAGGAGACACTATCATCTCCTATCAGACATGACTTAGTGACTTTAGTCACTAACTCAACAACCCAAAGGTATTTAACGTGAAGCCAGGTGGCTTTTCAACAGTGGCTTCAGGCAATTTCAATTCAAGAGCTCACCACCTCGAGCAATGCTGTTTGTTTCTTTTTGGTTTTGTTTTGCCTAAGGGCATTCAGGCCTTAGACTTGTCTGGCCTGGGCTCTAACCTTGACAGGACTCAAGGTCTCGCTATCTGGAAGTTTTAGTGCCAGGTTAGGTGTGCAACCTAACACACTCAAGCCAAGCTGCCTGCCTGCCATTTCCCCTCGGACTACTCAGATTTCCTCAGAAAGAGGTTTCAGAGCTGGGAGAATCAGCTGTCACCCTGAGGGCTAATCTTGTCAACCTGACTGGGCTTAGGGGTGTCCAGAAAGCTGATTAAATGTTATTCCTGAGCTGTCTGTGAGGATGTTTCCATAAGAGATTAGCATTTGAAACAGAAGACTGAGTGAAGACTGAGTTACCATTGTGGGTGGACGTCATCCAATCTATTGAGGGTCTAGGTAGAACAAAGAGGCAGAGCAAGGATGAATTTGCTCTCTGCCTGAGCTCAGACATCCATTTTCTCCTACCCTTGGACTTCTGGTTCTCAGGCCTTTGGACTTGGACTGCGACCATAGGCTTCTCCATTCCCAGCCTTCCAGACTTGGATTGAATTTCACCATTGGCTTTACTGGATCTCCAGCCTGCAGGTGGCAGATATTGGGACATTTCAGCCTCCCTAATCCAGTAAATCAATTCCTAAAATTAGTCACTGTCTGTATGTGTAGATCGCATATGGTTCTGTTTCTCTGTAGAGTCTTAATATATCACCCAAGGGTGATATCTTAATATCACACCCAAGGGTGCCCAGGATTTTGAGAGATCTGGAAGCCACAACATTCTTCTGAAACACCCTCCTGCCACCCACCCACCCACCCCAAATTCTTCACAGAACCAGGCTTCTCATCCTTCTTTCTCAGGTTCTGTGACCTCCAAAGAGCATTTCACGTAGGTGCATCACTCCAGAAGGGTCCCCATTACCTCACCTTCATT